GACCGCCACTGTTTTATGGTCCAACTTACTTTCCGTAAACAAAGTTACGCTGCCTTCAATGTAAGGATGGAAAAGGCATCTCTATTGTCTTTTGTTACTCTGAGGTCACAGCATATGCTGTGCCTATGTTGTGACTAGAACCAAGTTAATCTGTGACCCAAGAACATAAGTTCAATATTCTGTGACATAAGTATTATGTATATTTATGTAGTTCCGATTTCTGTATTTTGTGGTATAATGCTAATGAGACGGAGTTGGATATGTGTTAGACAGATATTTTGAAAGTTGATCTACTCTTAATTCATGTTGCATAAAACGAATTGTTCGAATTTAAATTCAATAGGTATTTCAACTGTTCAGTGAAGATGTTAGTACTTACGGCAATTTAGGCTGCATTTCCATCAGAGTGGAACTTGAATGATTCAAGTTTTGTTTTGATAGGTTATAAACAAAAAATATACGTTACAAATGTATTCTGATAGTCGAAAACGGGTATGCCTGCCCAGATCTAGCCTCACCAATGTCTTCAATTTTTCTCAAAAACTATTACCTGGAATAGGAAAATCTACCAAAAGAGGGATAAAAAAATGCTGGAAGTGTGGTGTTTATAATGGAACTAGAAGCACAATGTGCAAAAATAAAAAATGTGGAGTTATATTGAAAGATTCCGAGGAAAAGTTGAAAGTCGATTTAGATGCTGTGAAATTGATTACTGGCGCGGAAAAGCAACTATTTTCTGTTAGAGTTAGAGATATGGGGCCAGACTATCGAGGATTTGTTCAACTTCCCATCTTTCAGTTAAATTCTGAAGGAAGTAGTAATGTTTGTTCAGAAGTAGCTCTATGTTTTGTAGATTCTTGCCAAAATTCATTTCACAATTCAATTTTGAGATGTCACGAAGAGGACCAAAATGCCACAAATCTTATTTGTGCCCACATAAAATCAGCTTTAGAGAGCCAAAGCACTGCATCCCCAACAGAATTGAAAGATGATGTATTGCATGCTTTGAAGGCTGGGAATGATGTAAAAGAGAAATTATATTTATTGGCATCAGAAAAAGAAGGTTGTCTGGTCCAAAGAGTTTCAAAATCTATTATGGCCGTCAAATGCCAAGTTAGTCCCAAACATCCTCTTGGCTATTTGCATTTTACATTTTTTCGAGGAAAAGGAAGGGATATTTATGAAAAGTATTTTTGTAGCTGTGTAGATTTCAAAGGTGAGTAAATTCCGTTTTTTCTATATCAGTATTTATATCAAGGCTGTTGAGACTTGATAATAATAATTAAAATAATGTTTATGGTCATATGACCCCTGGCAATATTGACATTGTCTAGTATACATAGTACATATAAATAGATATCTAAACACATTACAAAGCACATTAAGACAAGCAAATTGAAAGATAAAAAATGAATAAAAGAAAAAATTACAATGTCAAGTTTAAATAAATTGCTCTGAGATATTCTTCAATAAAATGAAAACATATTTAAGTAATTTTTTATTGTGAGAATTTCACTGGTCATACTGTTCATGTGAATATAAAATTTCTAGGACAGAAGTATTATTTGTAATTAGACTACTGAATCCTCTGCATCCTGTGTTTTGAATTATGGTTCAATCACCTAGGATATTTCTTGTTACACTCAGTCAGTAATCATAACTCTGAAATGCACCACTGCAAGAGACATATTAGCACAAAAACGCCAGTCATTTCTGAAAATTTAGTGCCTATAATTTTGGAATTATAGTATAATGTTTAACGGTTCATAACTATTTCAGGTTCCGAACCCGTTAGTGATAAATATGGAAATGATGGTCATAAATGTATCCATTATTATGCTTGCATATGGGCCTTAGGAAGTGATCCGAAACATTATGGAGACTTTTCATACTTCCGTAGATGTGAGTTTTCCAACACAGGTAAGATTATTTGTGTGATGAAGTTTTATATATTGAGTCACAATATTCATTGAATCCACTTTTCATGATTACTTGGAGATTTGTTCAATCAAACATACTACTTTTTTTGTCTTATCTTTACATCTTAGGTTATATTAAATTCTTTTTAAAAATGTATTATTTCAGAAAGTAATTCTGTTAGTGAACTTAGTGAAGTTCCGGTGTCATATGAATTGACAAAATCAAAACCATCTTTGCAAAAAGTCCCTGAAGTGAAATTGAAAAGTAAAAATCCAAAAAAAAAGTCCGAAGTAAGATTATTATTGTTTGCTTGAATTAACAAATAATTTAGTGAAATGATAACCAATGTACTAACTACTTATTAAAAAGGGTTTGTTTAAATAATATTTCCTTTATATTAGTCTTTGACCTACTTTTTCATCTTATAACAGATTTTCTCATGTACTTTTGAATGGCCTTTTTTGTTTCATCCACTGGAATTTTAATTGGATAAAACTATTTTGCTGACATAAACTACCCCAAATAATGAGAATTAATTACCCTATAATAATTCACAATTAAATTCACAAGTTGAATGAGTTATAATAATTTTAAACAAAAAACTATGAAAAGCTGTGAAGTTTCCCAATGTTTAAATGTCAGAAGTCCTTGAAAAACATATTTCAGAAATTTTGTAGTCTCCAATCTTGATTGGATAATTCAATAATATCGAAACAATTGCAGGTTTGCACTCAAAATTCCTAAGTTTGGAGTGACCTAAAGAAAACAAAAACCTTTAAAATACTCTTATTATGGGAAAGAAAGGTTTTGGCTTTCTATTTCACCAATTAAGTGCTTTTTTCTTTTCATATTGTTTGTATAAATATGAAGAAGTGAAAAGCCAAAACCTTTCCCAAAAATTAATCTATCCTAAAAATATACCCCTTTCAAATTAAATTTTTATAAGGCAAGAAAAGGGCAAGGAAAATCTCCCAAATAACTATAGACCAGTTGCTTCGCTATCAGTGATATCAAAAATCATGGAGACAGCCGTAAACCATCATATACTCAAATATTTGAAAGGCATTAACATCTTGAGCGATCATCAATATGGCTTTCAGAAACAAAGATCAACAGGTGACCTTTTATCATATGTCACCCATATATGGAATAACTCAATAGAGAAACATGGAGTGTCAAGAACTGTTGCGCTTGATATTTCTAAGGCCTTTGCTGGCCAAAATTCGATGCTATGGCTTGTTGGACCATTTTTGTATATGGCTCTCCAGCTTCCTGAAAGAACGTTCCCTACAAGTGGCAGTCGATGGATACCTCTTGAATACTTTTACTGTCAACGCTGGTGTTCCCTAGGGATCTATTTCGTCTCCAACCCTCTTTATTATTGTATATCAACGACTTTTTGAAACAAAATATATATTGCTTTGCAGATGATAGTACACTTGTTTCGTCATTCCATTTGGATTCGAAGACATTGGTTGCGGATGCACAGCTTCACCGGCAGCAGGAGGTTGCATATCTTAATGAAAATCTAGAAGTGATTTCGAATTGGGATGTAACTAACCTGGTTCAATTCAATGCCACAAAAATCCAGGCATCGGTTTTCTCCAAAAAGATAAATACTTATCTCCGAACCTGATATAATAATGTCAGGACAGACAATTCCGCTTTCTGCTTCAATAAGTTTGTTGGGGGTTAAAATGGACACTAATGTGTCTTGCCACAATCATATCGCTGGAATAGCAAACGCTACTTCTTAAAAGTTTGGTTAAAAGTTTGGAACACTGTTAAAAACTAGAAAACTGTACACACCTCAGCAAGTTTTGATGCTTTATAAAGCTCAGGTCCTTCTTTGGAGTATTGTTCTCATGTATGGAGCTCCGTCCTCAAGCATACCCTGAAGCTGCTGGATTCCATCCAAAAAAGATCCATCCGCCTGATTGGAGACACAAACCTCACTTGCAACCTTGATAGTCTGCAACATCGAAGAAAGGTTGGGGATTTGTTTCTCTTCTATAGATACTTTTACGAGAAGTGTGAAAGGGGCTCCATAACACGTAACTTTGTGCCCATTTCACTTTCTTTGTAACTCTGATCGTTTTTGAGAATCACAAGTCTTCTCGAATTTCACTAACTTAGTAAAATGTAGTTTTCTTAGTATACTCTTGGGAACTTTATCCTCCTATTACGAGATCTGATGAAAAAATGTAAACGATGGTAAAGAGTTGGGGATATAAAGGTATGCCTGGCCCTGTTCCTTCATTATGCCTTACTATAGTTTTGGAAAATAGTTTCTCATTGCATGATCCAAATGTAATTGTTCTGTATGAAATATAATATTGAAAGTTGTTGCGAAGATTTTGAATGTTCAACTAAACAAATGTAGAATTTCCAATCTGTCATGCATGCTATATTTTTCACATTATCAGTTTACTTTATATTCCATTTCGAAACAAACTATTAATTTTAATTTGTCTTCAAACAAGGGTTGAATAAATGGTATATATTTATCAAATGAAATCACAGTTGTATTTCAAAGTTTTTTGAACTTTTTCAAATGGTAGCCAGAAGTTGTTTGTCTTGAGATTTTAGTTTGTTCAATGGGACATTATCCCTTGATATCGATGTACCTAATTTGCAGCAAAAAATTAGAACTGCCCAACAGTATCCACGGAGTCACCTGCTATTTTCAAAATGTTCGCGGAATTCGTTCAAAATGTGAAGCTTTGTATTCTGCTGTGAGTCAAGAGGAATTCGATCTTTTTGCTTCACGCGAAACTAATTTATCGTATGACGTCTCCAATAGTGAATATTTTTCTGAAAGTTACACGGTGTTCAGAAAAGACCATAAATTAGATGTTGTATCTCGAGAAAGTGGCGGTGGTGTTTTACTAGCTATAAAAAACAGTATTCAGATTGAAATAGTAAATGTTGATTTATTTGATAATACTTTTCCCATTATTGATTTGCTTATTTATTTATTTATTCACACTAACAGACCACATAGGTCTAATTACAAGGACGACCTTATTACCTACATATTATATGTAGATGCTTTCTAAAGCACACTACATTTTATGTGTGTGTTATTTATATTTCACCATCTGTAAGCACTGAGACTTACGAACTATTTTGTGAATCATTAGAACAACTAGAAATTTTGCAGACCAAAAATGTAGCTTTGATTGGTGACTTCAATGCTCCTAACTTTGTATGTGTCTCCGCTCTTGATAACAAGTCCCACGTTCTCTATAATATGATCAACTTCTTGAATATGAACCAATGGAATAATATCTTGAATGACTCGAATAGGCTCTTGGACCTAATCATTTCCAATATGAAATGTGAGGTGATAAGAGACAGAGCTCCAATGGTTCCTGAAGATATGCCTCATCATCCAGCTTTAATTATTGATTTTAATAATTTTTTGATTAGCGAAACTAGTTTCAACTCAAATGATAACCCAAACCAAAAAAATTATAATTTCAAACGAGCCAATTATCCTGCATTATATAATGCGCTACTTTCCACGAACTGGTCTTTCCTTCGGAATTGTGATGATGTGAATTTAGCTGTTAGTAATTTCTATGATGTCTTATATCAATATCAAAAAGAAAGCTAAACTACGCGAGAAGTACAAGAAAACTGGTAATATGCAGTACAATTATGAATTCAAGAGCCTTAGACTTGTCATCAAAAACCAAATCAAAGCTGCATATGATATTTATTTAAATTATATACAAGAATCTGTAGTATCTAATCTTCAATCATTGTGGTCATACGTACATTCCAAGAATAGAACCTCCTGTATTCCAGGTAGGATGAAATATGATGGCTTCACTATTGATTCTCCAGATGAAATTTGCAAATTTTTTTCACAGAACATATTCACACTCTGCAGTTGATGAAAGTACTTTGCATTCATGCTTATCAAATTCAAATTGTTTTTATAATAATATAAACTTTGAAAACATCAACGAACAGGAAATCTTAATTGCAGCACGTAAACTAAAAAATAAGTTCACTTCTGAAGTACCTGATAAGATACCATCCTTTTTTGTAAAAGATTGCATCGGTGTAATGGTATATCCCTTACTGACACTTTTCAATCTTGCAGTTAAAAATAATAATTTTCCTGAATTATGGAAGATATCACGAGTTTGTCCCATTTTTAAGTCTGGAGATCCATCTGATATTCGAAATTATCGTCCTATCTCAATCCTATCAAACTTTGCAAAACTTCTCGAAATTGTCATCTACAATTGCGTACATTCCTCAGTTCGTAATATCATATCTCCGCAACAACATAGATTTATGTCACAGATCCACCATAACAAATTTAATTGTATTGACCCAAAATATTAGTGATGTCTTAGATAATCGTGGTCAAGTTGATGTGATATATACTGATTTTGCTAAAGCATTTGATCGACTTGATCACATGATCCTTCTACAAAAACTCCACCAATTTGGTTTCCATAATTCAGCAGTACTTTTCATTAAATCCTACTTACTTCAACGCGAACAGTTTGTATCTTATAATGGCTATGATTCTTTTTATTACAATTCGTCATCTGGCGTACCTCTGGGGTCGAATCTCGGACCACTTCTGTTCTTATTATTTATTAATGACCTCAGTAATTATGTCCATTGTAATAAGTTATTTTTTGCAGATGATTTGAAAATATATTTACCTGTCGAAACTGTTGAAGACTGTAATAAATTGTAACAACAGTTAAAAAATATACAGACTTGTTGTGAAGTAAACAAACTATATCTCAATGCATACAAATGTAAAGTAGTGTCTTATAGTAGAAAAATGTCAGTCATCGAGTACAATTATCGAGTAGATACCATTTCACTGTCACGAAGTAACTCAATTAAAGATCTTGGTGTATATTTTGATCAAAATTTGTCTTTTTCCAACCATATTAGATCGAAAGTAAGTGAAGCTTTGAGAGTTTATCGCTTCATAGTTCGCAATTGTGGATCTTTTTCAAACATATCTGCTCTATTGACTCTTTATGTAGCCTACGTAAGGTCAAAATTAGAATATGGCTCTGTTCTATGGTCTCTATTCTACAATTGCTATAATATATTATTTTCTGTGTGCCTCATTTCAGAACTAGAAGTACAAAAACTTTTTACAGCCGACTGGCCAGAACTAATTTGTATCTCAAGTCACCTATTTTTAGCATTTGCAATAATTTCAATTTAATTTCAAATTTGTGTGATATCAATTATGATTCCTTAGAATATATTGTTGACACTGCATCTCAGTATTTCATGGAGAATTTTTAATTTTCTGGTATAGTTTTTTTTTCTATTTTATTTTATTATATCATAATATTCATTCATTTTCTCAAATTGTAACTTTGTAATTATAAGGATCGATATAATTTTTTTAACATACTCAGTTAACCCTGTAAATGGTTTTTAACTGTTGGGTAATAAATGCTATTATTATTATTATTATTATTATTCACTGATAATTTATAAAGAATTATCTCTATTGCTCGTAATGCCTTGAACAAAACTTCAAATATTTAATAATTCTTTCACGACTGTGTAAATAAATATTGACACCTCTCCTGAGTAACAACTAGTTGATTAATTTCACTAGTTCGGACTTCCATTGTCTACTATATAAAATGATTTGAAATCCCTGAAACAAGTAAAAAAGAATAATTAAAAAAGGATAGCTGACAATGTAGATAGTAGACAATGGAAGTCCGAACTAGTGAAATTCATCACGAAACATTGTCAATCACCTTCAAACAAACTAGTTGATTAATCTTTATAATCGAACTAAATAAAATGAAAGGTAGAGCTGGAACCATTCTTGCAAAATGAATACAAAACAAGCACTGTACATAACATGTTCAATATTCCCGAAAATACAAAATAATATTAATAACAAGTTAGGTAAATTTGGATGAGTATTAGTTGTTTTTGATTACAGGCGTTGAAGAGTAATGAATTTACAAGAAAGTGTCAAAGGATAATGCCAAAAGTTATTCCAGTCGAAATCAAGATCCTGAGTGACCTGCCAATATGTAATGACGCTGATTCATGGAGATTCATGGACTGGCTGTCATATGTAACAGAATGTGTAAACCAAACTATGAAGTTTGAAAATTGTGGTTTGCTGAACACCCTTGGTTTCCAAATTCCTGAGGTTAGTTTTGTAAAATATAAATTACTACTTTTGATATTGTGATCATATCATTGGAGAAAGTAGCTTTCTCGTCAAAAGTGGAATTTTAATATTAGACATAGTTTGTGTGTTTCATTGTTTGGTAGGAATTGCATGAAAATGTATCTTTTGTGATCAATAACATGGTGTGACTTTTGAAAAAAATCTTTGAAATTTCACACTTCAATTTAGTTTAAGCTTGGGCGCAAATTGCAGAGACAGTTGCCCTCAGAATATCTGTATTATTGTCACTTGTTTCCTATATTTGTATTTTCTAACTTCGAAACAGCCCAGAGGTAGTCGTTGCCACCCCAATTGAAATTTGCCACATCAATTTAAATGCTGAATTTATGCCTATTATGCCACTGTTAAATGCCACTGTGCCACTGTTAAATGAAAAAGTCAGTACTCAGTTTTAAATGGCAAAGAAATATATGCAGAGATGACTTTCGTTTCAATGTACAACCCCAAGGAAAGTCAAACATACGATATTCCTTATATAATCATACAGTCCGTGTTCCTGCTTTTGCAAAATGAACACAGAATTGAATACATGTTGACTGCAAAATTACAAAATTGCTATACCTTAACTCAAGTGAGCTTTAAACAAAGCATGGCAATTGTACTCAAATTTCAGAAGTTTAATCTAATTTTTTGAATATTAAGGAAAAGGAATTTGAATTACACCATTTGATTACTCTGTCCATGTCTTTGGCGCTAGATATACCTACCTATATAAAAAAAACTGGAATTAGCATTCCGCCAGGTTGATATTTCTGTTACAGTCATAAAATCCGTAAGAAACCTTTCCAATGCATACATTTTGTACAAGCTTTATTCAATCATGTTGATAACTTTTTGTAAGAGAAGGAATTGTGTCGCTCACATGTATTAGACTCAACAAAACATTTGCTACTTCATGAAAGAAAAAGGCTATACAGTCACATTTCCTTGGAACTCAGAATATTACTTCAGAAAAAAGCATACTATACTCTCGTAGACTATTCGTTCAATGGCACATACATAAGCATTTTTATGTTTATATGTATAGAACTTGATGTTTTTGGGTAATAAAATATATTCATCTACTTTTTTTTCTGATTGATTTGGCCGTTACTTGATGAAGATCCATGTTGTGATATATTTTTCAAATAAAGTTTGTGAAGATCAAATCGTGAAGTGTAGAAAAAAAATATTCGTCTATCTTGAAGTATCCAGGAAATTAGAGTTCAAACTTCATGATTTTCCTATAGTGTCAAGGACACTATCTAAGTTTCTGTATGACTTACTTCGAGATATTTTTGGTACATTTATTATTTGAGTTTGCTACATGTAAGATTGCGCATACATTCTCACATCGGTTTTGGTATGTACAGCTTTCACTTTAGAAAACAATTTTCATTATTTCTGGATTGTTTAACACTTCTTGTTGTCATAGAATAAAAACATTGATTAACCTAACGCAGACACTGTTCTCACAAATCAAAAATGCAATATTCTTGTTTACATACCTTTTACTAATAACATTGGGGTTAGCAGGAGATGAACTACTCTTTCAAAAACACTCCTAAAAAAATATCCATTACCTTCATATCAGACATAGCATAAAACATTACTTGTAACTCAATCAAATATATCCATGATAATAATTACCCGATTTTCACAATTTTCTTCATTCTAGACGCTTTTCGCTAACACTATATCTTCATCGGTAGTAATAGTACACACCGAACTTCAATTCTTATATACAACAGTAGTAGTTACTTAACTTAATTGGTTGATGATGAATAACAATTAAAATTTGGAAAACAATTACGATCTCAGTTCTTGAACAGCAGGTGAATTTTGAATATGAATTTTTTGGCATTATGAAAAAGGTTCAACATTGGTGAGATATAACTTCTTGTTGGTAAATCAAGAGGGAATTTGAATGTTTGCCCTTATTGATTTCCAGAGACTCCAGCAGGTTCAGTTTATATCCTTTACTTTCTGTATGGGGTATGTCGTAGATAGTGTTGAAATCATGATTGTTCTCCAAAAGGTGGCACGCATAGGTGGTATTAGTCTTGAGATTCTCGTTTCAAAATTTCTTGAAATCCTTATATAAACATTTGGGAATGATCCATATGTTGGTTTGTAGACACCTGATCTGTTATCTTTGTCTATGTGTGACTTGTTGACAATAAACTCAAACTTAATAACGATAAATCACAGTATCTTTATCTTTCGTCTATGAATGCCATAGAGACTCATTTTGTAAATTTACTAAGAGTAACTCTGGATAGTGATCTATCGTGGAAACCTCATATTACCAAATTGAGAAGTAAACTATGCAGTGCTCTGTTCGTCCTACGTCAACTTCAAATTATAACCATTTTAAATTCACTCAGAACAACATATTTTTCTTTATTTCATTCACATATAAGTTACGCTACTATTCTTTGGGGTGGTTCATCGGATTCTGACACAATTTTTCGTTTACAGAAAAAAGCTGTCAGGATCTTGTCCTGTGTCAGCTATCTGGAACATTGCCAACCTCTCTTTATTAAACACAGAATAATGCCCTTACCGTATTTGTACATTTTCCCAGTTCTAACAGAGATTTACAAAAACTCCTTATGCTACCAGACAAGCAGATAACTTCAGATCAAACAGGTTCCGCCTAACCAAATCTAAGAAAAATTCACTAAATTATTATCTCTACAATATATTACCATCGAAATTGAAATCTTCAAGTATACATTTATTCAAAATAAAGATAAGAAACTTACTTTTGACGCATTGTTTTTATTCCACAGAGGAATACATTGAACATTTCAGACTTTGTAGGGAATAAAATTCGTCTCGCCCAATTTTCCAATTTTATGTTACTTTCTATGTTGTTTTTCAACCATCATATCTTGTTTTAATATTATTTTCAAAAATTACATTATATTACACTATAGGTTATATTTTAACAATTATTTTTCTACGGTATTGTCTTTTTTTTCTTAATATGACATGCTACAAACATGTATTGTAATGTAGTCAAATAAATATATTCTATTCTACTCAATGAATCACAGTCTTATATGCTATGTAAATATTGTTATAAATATTACTGGAGTTTTTTCCCACCACCAAATCGTTATTTTTAACACCTCGAAACGTGTTTCGATCACCAAGTGATCATCTTCAGGAAGAAGATTAAACTGGAAACTTTGCGAAGCTAACCCTATTTATGCTATACAGGTATACCATACAGGTATTCCACACATACAGGTATACCACACTTAAATTAATTTTACAATTTGCCTTATCTATTACTTTACAATATGTCCTTATGTAATGTTTAAATGTTATAGCTATATATGTATAAAACAATTTTCAGCTATATAAAAAAATTAATTTCACAATATTGCCTATCTAAATCTATTTTTACAATTTGTCCTTATGTAATGGTATACCTGTATAGCATAAATAGGGTTAGCTTCGCAAAGTTTCCAGTTCAATCTTCCTCTTGAAGATATTCACTTGGTGATTGAAACACGTGTCGAGGTGTTAAAAATAACGATTTGGTGGTGGGAAAAAACTCCAGTAATATTCATTACTACACCAAAGGTTCCAAACAGTGCATCATATGTAAATATTTTGTTAGTTTAGTAGACTTTTTATTTTATCTGATGTTTTTCCGGTATATGTGAGTGTCTTAAAGGTGCCAGTATTGAATTTTATGTAAGGGTATATTTGTTTAGAAGCTTTTTTGAAACGAAAGGATGTGATGAATTACTTTAGAGTTAAAGTTGTTACTGCAATTGGTTTTATCAGATTCACTTCAGATTCACTTTCCTTTCTTTGGAACATTCCCACATTTTTTTTTTGTTTAAAGACGGAGAAATAGAAAGCCAAAACCTTCAATGCTTAAAAATATATCTAAAACTTGACGAATATTTGTTTTTCACAATTTTTCATCAATATTATGTCTTGATTATTCCTTATACCTATATGTTGTAAATATAGTTCAACATAGGTGTTGATGAACAAATTCTGAGGTTTGCTTTTCATATTTTACTCAATTTAGTAATAGTTTTGCTTGTGAGGACTTGAGCTTTTCAATGTTGATAACTTGGATAAGAAGTCGTAAATTACTAAAATTAGTTCATTTGATCACCTTAGTAGTTGAAAAGTGAATTCATAGTGAGTAATATTGTAATAAATGGATGAATGTAGTCGTTATTACGTGGTAGAAGATCATCATGAAAAATGAGAAATGTAACTTTCTGTGTTTTTTTACCATTTTTATTTGTAACTCACGTTACTGCAGTTTCGTCCTATAAGGACATTTTCAAATTAATACAATAAATACAATTGTATTAGTTTGGAAATGTTCTAAGGAAAGTTTCATTTCTCATTTTTCAGAATAATATTCTATTCTAGCAGTAAACTATTCTAAACATATAGAATAGTTTACTGCTAACCTCTCGAAATAATTCTCCCTTTTCATAAAGTCCATACTTTCATTTAGTTCAACAATATTCTTGCTTACATTAATACCTTTGTATATTTTCATAAAACTTTTTTGTTTGCAACACTTATTTGCAGAACTTCTTTCAATGCTTCATGAAGAGAATTCCCAAGGTCTATAATGTATCATTGATTGGAGACTCTCTGATATACAATGTGATGAATATTTTGCACTTGAAAGAAATTTTTGACACACCTCAGGTAATTAATTTTATAAATTTTGAATGAATTCTGGTACATGAACATATGTTTCAGGTGAAGTTGAAAATATCCAAGAAATTTGTGCACATTGAGGGAGAAGGATATCTTGAGTACAAGGATCAAGATGAGACTGAACTGCAAAATGGAGCCTCTCAGTGCAAGTTTATATTTTTTTTCAATGTGGGGCAGTCTACTGTAGATGAAAGCGATAACACCAATAATTCTTTCTATATTGAGTGGACACCATCTCTGATGAATTTTACGAATATTGGTCATCTAAAATTTCAGTACAAATATGGGCGGAAGAGCACATAAATCATCATTTGTGTTGGAAAAAGAACTGACTTGTTTGAGTAACATGTAATCTGAAGGATATGTGTGTCAATATGTTGTTGTGGACTTTTTCAAATCTTGACCCCGACAGTATTCATATAATACAAGAAAAATAGATCACTATTGTCTAATAAGCACAACACTTCTTTATATCAAAAAGACTTCATTTTTAGAGGATGAATATTTTATAATAGAATATTTATTATAAATGAAAAGAGCAAAAGTCTAGGCAGTAGGCATGTTCAAAAATAATTTCAAGTCATGTGTCTAGTGAAAACACTTTTTCTGTAACAGAACAATAATACTGTCTCTCAACAATGTTACTGTAATTTCGTGAAACTGTATAAATGAATAAATAATTAGGCCAAATATATCCAGATTCTTAACGAAGCTTATGTCTGACGAACACTGAAAACCTGATTTGGTTTGCGGTGGGGCAGGCAGAGAGTGTATGCTTTGCTTTTCAACATCTTCCAAATAGAAACAATACGCACTGCACTGTCTTCCGACAGTCATCATATGATGTTGGATAACGTGATGTGACAATGAGAGTATCCACGAAAATTATCGCCGGGAAAGGGCGCTGAGGGGCGTGTGTCAGTTCTCATGGTTCTTTCGTTAGTTACATATTGATAAAATGAATTTATTGGAATTATGAGAGGAAGAGTCTCAACCATTTTGTCAAAGACGATATGTTGAGACTTATCGAAGAGAGTCTATTTACTGTTTACTGTCTGTTTACTACCAACTTGCTCGATGAGAGTCAATAGGGAACTTGCATAAAAAGTCAATCACGAAAATTACATTGAGAATCAAAAGATATCATTGTAATAAAGTATTTATTACAAAAAAAAACGAAATTTTATATAATATTCGTTCTATAGAAACAATTGAAGCTTACTAAAAATTTAAATTTCGTCACGTGACCAAAAACGCCCAGCCATTGGATGCGACGTCATACTGTATTTCGGCAGTCGACATTCTATTTATGTTGAACTGTTTGCGTTTGCTGGTTCGAAGTTATTTAAGTTTCTAATTTTCCGATATCCGTAGCCTGAACGCAATTATCTCACAAATCAGATATATAGTAATATGTAAACTGGTATAGTAAAATTAAACTGGTCTTCACATACATGAAGAGCTTTGTTGTTATGTGAAGTATCATTTTTATTCCTTCTGCATGTCTTCAACTATAGGTTCGTTCCAACCAGCGTCAGAAACAGTTTCTGACAGTCAGGATTCTGCGCAGTAATGTGATTGTGTTCCAACATGAGTTTCCAACCATTAGTAAACTATCACTTTTCTGTTCTATCCAAGATTCAAACCTGTTCGAAATCTATCAGAATGGTTTGAGGATTATCTTCTAACCATCAATCTGACGCATGTGTATTCCGTATTACTGTTTCTGTTTTATGTTCATGCAACTTACAAACAACATAACCTGCAAAAATTGTTATAAAATGAATTATGTATTTGCTGGCGCAGGACAAATTAGGAATTCTTTAAGTGAACCTAAAATATGAACATCTTTAATTACACAAATTATTGCGGTGACCTCCCAGTTCCATGTTGATTAGTAAATAGAATAGAGATATAAAATACTGCAACCTTCTTTTACTCTCCAGAAATACACTTGATTAGATTTATTTTTAAAGAATTGAAGGGGTTATATTTTTAGGAGTGACATTCGTTGTGGAATGTTTGAAATACAAACTGAGTAGAGAAAAGTATCTTCTGTATAATTCAGTGTTCATATAGAAGTATTTGTTTCGAAAGATTTTTTTTTCTTTCGTGTAATTCAATGTTTATATGAAAGTAGCTGTTTCAGGAGGACATTCTTTCAGTTTGTGTCTGAAAGTTACTTCTTTGCATGATCTACACATCCATGTATAGAGTTACTTATTTTCAAATTGATTACTTCCTTCCTTTCTTTGGAAGATTCCCTCATCCCCTTTTTTGTATCAAGATGGAGTTGTAGAAAGCCAAAAACTTTCTTTCCCAAATTATTTTTAAAGGTTATGTTGAAATTCCATGCCAAACTTCAGTTGAACTATCAGCTGTTCCAATCAGAAATTTCAAATTAATCAGAAACCAATATTTACCAGACATGCGCGTTGACAACGATGTACACACAGTTGGAAATCTGTTTGTGACTCAAGGTTGGAACGAACCTTATTTTGTTCGACGATTACGATAATGGAAGTTTTCTGAACAAAGGCACAATGCAATATTTGTAATATTGTTTGTGTTTCAAATTGAAAGTCCTTGTTAGATTTATAAATTCAACAGAACACACAAACATTACTAACAGACCGTATGCGAAATTATCCAAGAACCCTTTATCAAAGATGATTGCCGAAGTAAAAGACGTCCTCAAGAAAAGCGACAACATACTAACCCCTCAACTGAAACTGAATTTACAAGTTTCCAACCCAACGATGTCAAAACTATATTGCCTCACAAAAATCCAAATAGCAAAGTGGCTCACTAGGGAATTTGAAGGCTTGTCTATTGTGGAACCAGGTTTTAGTATAAAAAACTCTTTAGAGTTCATGCAACATACATTGTTTCTGCAAGAAGGTGAGATTTTGGTTTCTTTTGATGTTAGTTCCATATTTCCTAGCCTCCCAATTCCACAAACCTTACAATACCTCAAGGAATTACTAGAGAAAAATAATTTCAATAATGAGGAGATTGATGAATTCGTTTCTCTCACTCATTTGTATATGAAACAAAACTGGTTCCAGGTAGAAGGTTGCTTTTATGAACAACAGGAGGGAAGGGCTATGGGTAACCTCTTGCCCCTCCCCCCCCGCCTGTCAAACCTGTTCATGAGCAGATTATGGAAACCAAAGAAAAGTCAAAGTATTTTCCTAGGATATGGAATAAGGTATGTGGATGATATTTTCGCGATATTCGATAACAAAAAATCGAATATTGAGGACTTTGTTTCCTTTTTAAATAATAGATTTCCATCAATAAAATTCACGTATGAGTTATAAAATAAAGAACAATTTTCATTTTTTGACGTTTTGGTAATGAGGAGAGGAGCCAATATGGGGGGTTATAATACAATGTATTTATAAAAGAAACGAGCATGTACAGGTATATTCCTGACAGTTCACATCACTGCACAGCAGGACAGCACAAACGTGCTGGGTTGAATTTTTTAGTGTATCGTCTTATGACTTTTACTCTAACATATGAGAGGTTTACAAAAGAAAAACGTACAATACAGGAAATAGCAGCCACTAACGGCTAACGGTTTCTCGCTAACTCAACCTAACCTAACCTGACCTTACCTAACTCAGTCTAACCTTTAGAATTAAAAAAAACTATGTATCCTCAACATCTAACCTGACTTTCAAACTCTAAAAGGAACGCATTTTCGAATATTCACTCTTGTAAAAACTATCTTCCCTCAACATCTAACCTGACCTCCGAATTCTAAAAGGAACGTATTTTCGAATAGTGAAACTTGATACAATTTATAAAAAGTGATTTGTGTGCACCTGACTAATTATGAAATTTCATGCTAATTTCAGGAAACTCAGCAATAAGTGATTGAAAAGGGATAGAAAAAGGTGCGATGATATGGAAAAAGTTGTGTTAAATAAAAAAATATGTAAATTGTAATCGTTTATTGCTTTAAAAAAGGTAAAATATGACGTCATACAAACTTTGACAGGCTATATCTCGAAAACTAATTGAGTCCGACAAAAAATTAAAAGTGTTCTAAATTCCTACCATCATGTAGTATCATCCTAGAAAAAATCGGGAAAATCCGTGAGTATCCCATAAAGTAAATTTTAGCCATCTATAGTATAAATAGGGATAGCTTTGTGAGTACGATTAGTTTGATCTTCCTCTTGAAGATGATCACTTGGTGATCGAAACACGTGTCGAGGTGTTAAAATAACGGTTTGGTGTTGGGAAATAAAAACTCCAGTAATATACACAAACAAAGCTGAATCAAGGTTAAACACAAGTCACGAAACTATACAACTTAATAATACCAATCTTTTAAAAAAACAGGACCTCATCAAATTCGACACGAAAGCGTTTCGCTGCAGCTGCTCAGATAAGTAGATTTGTATGGCAGTCACAACCTGCGCCATATGCCTGCGCCATATGCCTGCGCCCGGATTGATACAGTGTGACGTCATGACAGTTCGCGCCTTTAAACGCTTGTTTGAATTGGTTGTTCAACGCAAGAAACTTTTTATATATTTTATAAATTTTATAAACTGACTATTGATATTTCACTGCTCATATTTTGCAGTAGTTAATAGTTATCATAGCAGAACACATTTACGATGTAAAAAAAATCTGCAAGTTCCCTGTTGCATCCAAAGCCACTTGGCTGTGCTAAATATTTTTATTGATATATGTGCGAGGTTGGTTCTTGCCAATCTCTCACTAATCTGTGGCTGTATATAATTAACGGCTATCTGCTTTCAGGCATAGGAGTGTATAAAGCAGGTTTCTGTTACTAGTTGGAGGAATTAGGTCGGAGGTAATTCTCAGAATGCTGTGACTTTTAGTGTCAGCTAATGAATAGTTTGCGTATAAGCCTGTTTTGTGCAACTGGTGATAGTCACAAGTCTGTTGCCCATTTAGCTTCACACACTCTCTCTCTCTCTGTAAAGCTTTCAACCACCAAGCAATTGCTCCATACACGATCCTTAGTCTGACAATCATCACATATATCCAATGGATATTGTTGAACCTTTTTTCATTATTCTCATCATTTGTTACTATTATTTCGTCAGGGTACCTTTCGAGATACTTATTTGCTCAATAAAGGTTTTTTTCACTATTCAATACCGTGCGTTTCAGTAAAATGTATCTGATAAAATGAATCGCTTTATTTTAAATTTAAAAAATGTTGAAAATTCATTTACAAGCTTACTAAAACGTTAATAGCATCCATTGATGCTATTATATTTTTGTAGTCCTAAAGTAAAAAATGATTTTCAGCTCTATGCCATCAATTGGTGTGAAGGTGAAAATCTTGTAAAAGTTTGAACATCTCAAATACGGGGGGTAGATTTTGACAAAAGATTTTGTATGACTTTTATAAATTTGGATATTACTTGAATCATTAGTTTGGGAAACCCCACTTATCCGCAAACCAAAACTTATGGAACAACCAAAAAATGTTTCAAAACCTGTCAAATTTTGATGAAGAGAACATTCTAAAAAAATTTTAAATTTCTTGTGGGCAACAAATTTCTTAGCTTAGCTTACTATGTGTACCATGCGTATTTATTTCACTGGTACTTCTGGTAAACCCCTCGAATCTGATTAAAAAAAAATGAATTCATCTTTTGCATTACTGACAATTTTCAGAGAAAATACCGAAGTACAC